CCGAGAAAAACCGCCGACCTACGACATCGTCCGGCACAATTATTCCCACATAGATAATATGTTGAGGCGAACGAGGTGTTGCTGGGTGCCGGCTACGATACGAGTGGCAGGGTGCCACTCAATCACCGTCGAGAGGAGGGGAATTTGGGGGGGGGGGGGCAGACTATATATAAACGAGGTCGCTAGAGTGTCGGCCATCTTTATCCTTCACCACACTCCGGGTCACTGACGGCGCAGTGTGCTGTCGCCGCTGACCGCCTTCGAGTTCCGGTGTCGAGATACGGCATCGCGAGAGGAGACGATCCACCACGAGGGGTCTTGAGAGGCCTTCCACGCGGTACGTGCTTGAAAGTCCCGCCAATATAATAATACAGTGGTGAATCCGATTTGCATAGCAGTGAATATCTAAGAGGATTGGCTAGATTGCTTCAGTAGTAGATTTATTTGAGGAGCATTTACTACTGGGGGTTGATAACGAGTCCCAAAATAAATAACATTTTATACAATCGGTAGGAAGTTATTTATATAAAGCGTAATCCTATTGTAATAAAACTATTGTTAAGTATGTTGTGGATCAGGACCATAAATCCAGTTGAGAGGAGCTCATGAGTAGCTCCCTAGTTTATTCCCTTAGTGACACTAGTGTAGGCAAGGAAAGGGTAAGAGAACAACGTGCACTCTAACCCCGCATTCCCTCCACGATCTGAAGGGGGAAGGGGGTGAGTTATAGTGATGTCAGCGACGAGGATGGGGGAATGTACCGGTCGAGATTGCCGCCCTGGCAGGACCACCTGAGTCGCGCGGAAGGAGGTTCTCTTCCGAGATTAACCGAGCCAGACTGTCATTACGGTGATTGGACGTGGCGACGTAACTTTTTCTCTTCGGAACTCTCCTTGCACCGGGTCTCCGTCGACTGCGAACTTTACCTTCTGACGTCAATACGTCTTTAAATTTGCAACCATAGTGGCAGGCAATCAAGAAAATCCGATGGTAACAAAATCGGGGGATACAGTTTGGCATCGCAGCTCCAAATCTATCGTCCACTTTCAAAATTCTATTAAACCACTCGATTGCCAAAGGATCAAAGAATATGTTACGTTGAGTGAGGACTGTGAAGCATCGCGCATGACGCGGTAAGGAGCAAAAAGGGGGGAGGGTGGCAGGCGTCTCGTCGTCATGGTGACAGGCAGGGAGGGGGAGGGGAGGGGTGGTGGCCAGTTAGGTTTCGCAGGCGACAGCACACGCTGAGGACCGCACTTGCCGAACAGCAGTCATGCCGGCAGGATGCGAAGCGAGTTGGTCAGTCGAACGGTCCCCGATTCAGCGAAGGGTAATTTTTATTTAACAAATTACGCGGCAGTAATTTTGTAACATCTCTCGATATTTGCATAGTTTCTGCGCTGTTCCCCTTGATGTTTTGTGGCTTGCCTGGTGTTATGTTTACGGACACGAGATCGTTAACTTTCTTTTGCTTTGTTTGAAGGATGTTTAAAATACAAGGGTGTTTGTAAAAATGAGGTTCGCCAGCCTTCGAAGCCTAATATTAGAAAGAATTGCAAGTGAACCCCCAAAATAACTTATACCAATTTCCAACAGAATGAACAGTTAAAATAAACCATTTAAGGCAAATGGGGTTACCTAAAGAGTGTTTACGTTGATCATGATGGTTTCCCTATATTTTCTCATCAGGTTAGCCAATAAATGAATTCATAGTTTTTCATCGTGTTGACTTTCTTTCACAAATTTCGTTATGTTGGCAATATAACTACGACCTGTTTGCATTTTGCAGCTCGAAATAATAGCTCGGCGTAATAGATGTAAGAGTCGGCTCTCTACTTTAATTGCTCTGAGCGCTGACAGCTCGCCTCCCTAGTTACCTATGCTTGTACCACCAGCACGGCCCTGCCAGCGGGAGGGAGCTGATATTAGTAACGGCCCGGCTGTGTACAAATTGATACAGAAACAATCGGCGAGCATCGGCAAACGCGCAACCGATTACGCGGAGAGTAATCCACAGTCCAATGCCTGCTCCTAAATAAACTGGTATGGTCTGTTCGTTGTTGCTGACAACTTTCCTGAAACCCTGGTTTAATAATAATTTACGAGAAAGAACTATGCATTAGTAGTTATTACCAACACACCTATTTCCTCCCTGGAGGGCCACGGTTTTTGTAGGGGTTAGTCTACCCGCCCCCCGCCTAGGCGAACCGGGCTCGATTCCCGGTGGGGTCGCTCCCGGATTTTCGCATGCGGGAATCGCGCCAGACGATGCCGCTGCTAAGCGAATTTTCTTCGGAATCTCCCGTTTTCGCCACTCCTTCATTCCGGCGTTGATCAATACTCAACTCACTTCACACTCGTCGGCTCGCAAGACCTCGCTATTAAGACCCGTCTTAAATCTCTCCACTCCATTTCCTCCCTGTTTTTATTCATGTCAACTATTAATGAAATACGTATAATGGCTGTTCACGATAAAGTGAGCACTTTAGAAACGAACCTTAGAAAAAAAGTCACTGCCCCTGCAAGCATAAATTTTAATAGGCGCACTGAGTGACATTCGTCCTGTAAAGTTGGTAACGATGGCTGGAAAGTAGTTCCATATCTTAACGTAGAATTAAAAAAAAAAGTATAAGGTAACCATTTTTGATAACTCAAAATTATTTCTTTTTCACTTTCTGTTTTTAATGCATCGATGTGTAAAAATTAGCAGATTTGTAAAGTATTTATTTTCTTGATAATTTCACAGAGTAATTTGAGCGATCCATGACGAATAAGGTTATGAGGCCCATGGCAATGTTAATTTTACATAATATGGAAGGATACACAACGTGCATACAAGTAGATCTTAAGCAGGGTTTTAAAAAGTGCTCATTTTACCGTGAAAAGTCTATACATAAGTTATATAAGCGAAACCCCAATTTTAACAAAAATAAAATACTTTCATGTTACGAGAAGTATAAAATGCTAGTAATACATGACATAATCATGAAACAACCAAACACGTTATGAGGTGATTTTCAAAGCCTTGATTGGAAAAATGTGAATATATCGCGAATAGACTATATATGCTGTTAGCGGTCAACTTATCACTCTAATGCTAATTTGTACCTTAAGTATAAAAGGAGAAATTTGCGTAATTACGAGGAAAATTCAGACGATATGATAATAAGAATAACTTACCAGGAGTTTGATTCCAAATTTCAGTGTCTCAGATACCTTCAATTTTTTATATCATTGAACGTATTCTTATGTTTATCATTGGGGGAAAAAATATCTCGAATAATCTGCGGAACTTTGTAAGACTTACCGATCATAAGAAATACTATTTTGAAGTTTTAAAACGAAACTAAAACCGGTCTTTTCATATTGACCCATCCCAATGTGACACTATGCATTATGCCCTACGTACGTACTGCACGCCAGTTCAGTGTCCTGCGCGTAGAGGCGATATATCATTAGATGCGCTGGGCACCGTCGACCTTATTACTCTAACTATTCTGTTTTTCACTCAAATATTTAAATGTCAAAGAAGATGGAGTCATTAGTTGTGGATCCACACGTGTAAATAGCGCATGTGTGATGGAAGCATTTCCCGTTCATAAACTGCGATTCGCCCACTGATTCTATGGGTAAATTAATGCTTGACCCCTGTGGTTCGAGTAAAAATCCTTTTGTTAGGTCGGTACAGCTATTTCACTTTTAAACAATTACGTAGAAAATCGACCTACCTGCATATATTTTTATATGAATATTGACGGACATGCTCCCAGTAAAGTTTGCACCGCTGCAGGGAAATAAGTTCCATTTCTTAATGCCGTATTAAAGGTTTGGCATTTGAGTTAGTGCGCAATTAATTTATTCTATTTTTTTGTTAGAATTTTTATGTTCACAAGAGCAAGAATTAACTTATCGGTAACAAATTTACATCCCTAGTTTTTAAACAGTTACACTTTATCGATACTGGAATAAAGTGATCGGGAACATAATGTTATTAATTTACATATAATGGAAGGATATTACATTGACAAAGAAGAAGTTATAAAGGAACATTTTAAAACATTCTCAATTAATCTGGAAGAGCGTATAAGGTTGTTTTACACTGAGAGAAAATCTAACAAAATATTGGTTTGTATAGGGCCAAATACATATTTATCTGCCCTAACAAAATATACTGTTGAGCAAACAAAATTTTAAAAGCAACGAAATTATTTTAGTTCGTCTAGCAAAATATATGTTTGAATAAACAAAATCTCTGTATTGGGCCAAAAAAAAATTAGACTTTTGACTTAATATTTTGTTGAATAAACTGTATATATTTGTTTGGCCACTCATTTGACTGTCTTTGTCTGAAAAAAACAGCTCGAGAGTTTGTTTGTATTTTTTGTGACAATTAGGATACTAACCGTATTTGTTAGTGCATCTATTGATGCTAACAATCGTATAAAAAACATTAATAAAACAATGCAGAAATTAATTGAAAAAAAGCTGTATAACGTGAAATATTTGTTTGCACACGTTGCCCGATATCTGCAGTATATATATATATATATATATTTAAAAGCATTCCCCAGCTTTATCAGTTGTCACATTAGCTGAGATTACTAAGGCGCAGCACATGGACGCAGATGATCTATGTTTGAAACTCAGTCGAACTTTTAAAATGCTTTGGTATTGGCCCAAACTGTTTAATGTACGTGAAGTCAAAGAAATCTTCAGTTGCACCAAACAAATCTTACAGTTTGGGGAAACCATAGGAAAACAACAAAATAATTTCGTTTCAGAAACAAAACATTTCATTGACCAAATTCAAACAAATAATTTGGTTGCGCCAAACAAATCTTGTATTATTCAACAAAACCTGTTTTCCCAGTGTATTAGTCCCGGTTTTCCGAAAACCGTTTTGGTTTCTTAGTATTTTCGACTTTATTTGGGGCGAATTTAATACGATCACCTTCTCTTACAGTTAACCACGCACAGTAAAAAATGTTGCAAAGCGTTCATTTCGGTACCGGGAATTGAACCCGAGCCTCCCGGGCGAGGGCCAGGTATCCTTGCCACCAGACTATAATACCGGAAGCTACTCAGCGAACCTGAAAATCGTACAGAATCTATCACATTCGTGCGATGATGAGGATCTGACCAGTCAAAGTTCTCTCATAATTGTCAGTATCTCTCGAGTTCGTGAGCGCCGGGGAAACGAGTGTACGCGGTACCTAGTTCAAACACCCGCGCTAAACACAAGCTTAGCCTTGAGAATTTACACAGCGCATCGGAATGGCGTAAGTGCAGTCACACTCCTGAGATATCAGTATCGGCATTTCGTGCGCGCTGCTGCAGTTCAAGTGGTTGCAGAGGACACTTAATATTCTAGTACGCGGGGTTTAGCATTCTTAATTAAATAGCGTAGTTCACTCTCAACAACGAGGTCTTGAGAGCCGACGGGGACGAAGTGAGGTGACTATGGAGCAGAGTCGGAATGTAAACGTGAGATTCCCGATGAAACCTGTCGGCCAGCGGCGTCGTCCGGGCACGATTCCTCTTTGCGAAAATCCGGGAGTGGCCCCTACCGGGGATTGAACCCGGTTCGCATTGGTGGGAAGCGGGCAGTCTAACTGCTCAGCCACCGCGGCCCCTGAGTTGTTCTGATCTGGAAAACTGGAACATATGTTTACAAGTCAATTCCTTAGTTCATTCGTAAAAACTGTAAAAATACGCACAGTTACTATTTACAATATTAAACTACCTCTGTATACTATTAAGACTCTTAGTACACATACCAGGGAACGTAATACGTAATAATAATTATATTATAATATAAAGTACTTATCACTATCTTTATGCTAGTTACACTCACTTTTTCTTCATACGTTAAATACACTCTAAACCTGAATCGGTGAAAATTTCACTGTTTCAATCAAGCAAACGTATCTGACTGATACAACAGTCACTTTGGTGAATTTAACTGGTGCACCAGTGAAAAAATTTCATATTTCCTTTCACTGATTGATTCAGTGACATTTCCCACTGATTCGTCAGTAATTTTTTCCACCATTTTCTCAGTGGTTTATTTTTCGACTGATGGACCAGTTAAACATCTGAGTAATTTGCTCCGCCTTAAATTATTTGTGACTGATGCATCAGTGAAAACGGGTGTCAACATGGCCGTCGAACATCGTTTAAAAATGGCCGTTAAACAACGTGTATCAAGTGAAGTAACGACGAATAAACGAATAAAACTAATAAGAAATACTTTCTAAAGGGTGTTTCTTCTTTCGAAACCCCATTTTACGAAGTAATATGAACACACAACCTTTCATTCCGTTTTTAAGTCTTTCATTTTGATTCCATGTAATCGTCACAACGCTCTGTTTGAAGCTTTAAACTGCATTTAATGCGATGAAGAGAGTGCACTCATATATACTATTCGTTTTAACAATCCTAACGGAACCAATCAAACCAAACACGAGAAGTATGAGGATATAACTTCAAAATACACGATTTTGCAGCAACAGCATAAGACCTATATTTTCCTCTCGCACTCTCAACTTGGCGTGGTAGCTCAGATGAGCCCTACCGCCATAGATCAGGGGTAGGGTGGCCGACTTGTAGTCGACGGGTCATGGGATTGCGCTCCTGTGCTTCCGACACGGAGGATTTTCAGTTCGCTTGTCACACTGGGAATTTGTCAGTAAGATGGCCTCAATACAGCTTCGTCAACGTCAAATGTCACAACAACGTGAAACCAAAGGGGGAAAAAAGATAGCAAGGCAATGGCCCAGAGTCGAAGGGGCCGCGAGTTCAACTCCGGCTACCTGCAATTTTTTTCTTTTTCTTTTTTGGCTACAGTAAATTGCACAATGTAAATAGTAAACTATCATACGTATGTTTATTTCAAGTAATTATTTGCCTACGTTCGATAAAAGCATTATTTAATTCTCCACAGCACTCGGCCGTCACTCATTCAATCAGTGAAATTTTTTCACTGAAACAAACAGTGGTTTCCCATTCATTCTAAGTGGAGCCACTTTCACCGATTCGAGTAGATAGATTTCACTGCTTATCACTTGTTTCCCATTGATTAGAATTAGAGAGTACACATATGCCACTATTTCTATTTCCTTACATTGGCATAATTTCAAATGTCTGCCAGTCATGTGTCCAGTTCCACTTTTCGACAGTCCAGAAATCCAGCCAGACACACACACATTCTCTCTCTCCCTCTCTCTCTACTCTCCCGATGCTCGCAGGACTACGCCCGCTTATCCCGGGTTCGCTCGATGTTCCGATAGAACGACGCACTTGGGCGCGAACGGCCGTGCATGACTTCAGACTCTCCGACACGGAGGCACGCCGCGGCTTATATAGCTCAGCTGACCTGGCCCAGATAGTTCTTCACGCCTGGCGTCGCGCCGAGGAGTAGGTGCGATGGCGACCAGAAAATTATACGCAGCGACAACCGAAGACGTTCCATGTTCGAAGGACGGAGGTTAATGACAGTCCTAACAATTCTATCGTGTCAAGTGTTAGCGATATAGCGGCTTGTTGTGTAACCCTGCCTGTTCTTCCCCCATATTGTAAGCATGTAACGATGACCTTGGCCCCATGGCCTTAAATGGCCTTGAAATCAAAAACTCGAGAAAAAGTCACAAGAGACCTGCTTGCAGTAAATCTTGTACCGATGAAGTGAATAAGAAATGCACTTCACCTTTACAGGTAAAGTATTTGTATGTATGAGTAGATCAGCGGTACGACTGAACTGCTTACTGCACATGTCACTAAAATATGACATACCACAGGGAGACTTGCCACAATTAAAGCACTCGTGTTGCCATACATTGTGGTTGAAGGTAAACGCCTTTTCACAAAAGTGACATTGATGGTCCAGGTACCACTCCCGAAGAAGGTGATAACATTGCCACAGTTGCCATTAGCTCTGGAATACCCGAAGACACCACAGATGCAGAATAAAACTTAGATGCGAATATGCAGAAGCTACCCGAGACGATCCACATTTCAAGACATCGCTGTCAAACCAAGTCTATCAGCCAATCTCCCTACTGTTTATAATATATGCGTACGAAAGCCCTATGAATTCGTTTTGACTTTGAACCAATCGTATTACACCATTAATACATTGTTCGGACACCGACCAACCAATCGCCGAGTTGCCAAGTGACTAATTCCGACTGACTCCAAAATGACTTCAAACGACTCAAAAAATGCTAATGATGACTCATAATGACTCTTGATTGCAGTGCGTGCGGTGCTGATTGTGTTGCATGTGGTGCTGATTGTGTTGTGTGTGGTGCTGGTTGTGTTGCGTGTGGTACTGATTGTGTTGCGTGCGGTGCTGATTGCAGTGCGTGCGGTGCTGATTGTGTTGCATGTGGTGCTGATTGTGTTGTGTGTGGTGCTGGTTGTGTTGCGTGTGGTGCTGATTGTGTTGCGTGCGGTGCTGATTGCAGTGCGTGCTGTGCTGATTGTGGAGCATGCGGTGCTGATTGCAGTGCATGCAGTGCTTATTGTGGTGCATGCATTGCTGACTGCCGTGTGTGGGATGCTGATTGCAGAGCGTACGGTGCCAAGTGCGATGCGTGTGTTGCTAAGAGTGTTGCGTGTGTGTGGATCGTAAGTTAAAATAAATGTCCGTTATTTAAAAATAAAATTGTTAAGTCCTACCTCCAAAAGTCGAAAGGTGAAAAATTTATTTATAAATCTTGCTTTAAAAAGTATATATCCAGATCTCTCGATATATTTCATCGCTTCCTGGGTAAACTGTATTTGCGCTTTGCAATAAAAGTGCCTATAACTAAATCAGGGCCCCACCACGCTACGCCATTGGTAGATGCACAACTTGGACTTTGTACTGAACAATGCAGCACCACGGCAGGCCACCACCATGCTTCCCAATTGGTCGTCGTACAGACCGCTCTCTCGTGCCGATGTGCATTTTGAACATAGGTGAAAAACTATATCGTAGAATCAGCACTGACGTCAGACAGTTACCAGTGATGCAGGTAGTGGCTACATGGTCGTTGAGGTGAAAGGCAGGCCTTCGTATTCGCAATTGATCTTCGCAGTATGGGAGTACTCTGAGAAAACCCAAGTACTTGTTCGTAGATAATTGGCAATAGTGTGTCAATAATTCAGGACCAAAAAAGATTTCAAAATTTATGTGCCCAAACACGAAGCTCAAAATATTAGAAACACGAATACATATGTGATAAAACTACATAAATGGAATCAAGAAGTAACTTACAAAATACGGGCAGCTTTAGTTATTTTATTGCGCATAAATTCTTAACTATTTTATATAGACCAAATGTTTTAGGCAAGGGTAATACGCAAACATATCCGGCAATTATTATCCAAATAATTCAAATGTTGAAATTGGTTTTTAAGTGTTAAAAAATGTATATACCGAGGGAAAATAATGTAGAGAGTCAATGTCTGGCGGGTAGAACCCGAGATCGGGAAAGGAAATGTAACTAAAAAATTAAATCGATAAAACTAACCCCAAAAGCTGTGTCGCTGGGTATATGAAGGCGAGGTACGCCCTTCCCTTGCACTGCCAGAAGCTGTCTCACACACGCCCGTAATTACGCGACCAAAAGGAAAAAATTCTCTTTCTGAAGGTGAGCACGCTTGCATGCAGAAGTACGGTAGCCACGAACACAGAGGGTGGGTAAAAAAAAAAAAAACGTAAAATTACTGCACCGTCTGCAATATCGCTGTAGGCGCTGCAACCCTGGCGCGAGTCACTGCGTACCGCAAACACAATGTCACCTGCACGACGTCAAAAGAGCAAAACCTCGCAAAAAAAAAAAAACAACAACTAAAAGCTGAACCTTTGAAAGAATCACAACTCGTGACCACATATAAGGTCTTTTTTGGAAAACACACAGAAGTTCAAACCGCAGCATGTATGTTTTAACACAAACGAAAATTACTAGGAACAATTATTTTTTTTTGGAAAGACCATCAAGTATATTTTAATTTAAGTTGAATTTAAGCAATACAACGCAGGGAGTCCACAGCTATACCTAAAGGATGTTCACGGTAAAGGTGAGTACTT